TGCTAGTCTTGTCGCTGAGTCTGAGTCTGTCTGTCCTCCGTCCGTCGGGGGTGAGTGTGCCCTTGGCACGGACGTCCTTGAGGACAGGCAGGAGGAGTTCGAGTGTCTGGCAGCTGCTTCACCTCATCTCGTGTCCGTACTGCTTACCCCTGAGGGAGACCCGGATGCACTTGACATCCCGACTCCGCGCTCTTACGCGGAGGCGATAGAGGGTCCCTACTCCTCTCAGTGGCAGGCAGCTATGGATGCAGAGATGGCTTCCTGGAAGTCCACAGGCACCTACGTTGACGAGGTTCCCCCGCCTGGGGCGAACATCGTCAGTGGCATGTGGATCTTCAAGGTGAAGCGGCCGCCGGGTTCTCCGCCTGTCTTCAAGGCACGGTACGTGGCTCGTGGCTTCAGGCAGCGGCAGGGAGTTGACCACTTTCAGACCTTCTCTCCCACCCCGAAGATGACCACTCTTCGGGTACTGCTGCACGTTGATGCTCACCGTGACTACGAGCTGCACTCTCTCGACTTCAGCACAGCTTTCTTGCAGGGCAGCCTGCACGAGGAGATGTGGCTGCGCCGCCCACCTGGCTTCACTGGGTCGTTCCCTCCTGGTACCCAGTGGAGTCTCCGGCGTCCAGTTTACGGTCTCCGCCAGGCGTCACGTGAGTGGCATGACACATTGAGGACTACGCTTGCGGCTCTTGGGTTTGCTCCTTTTACTGCCAACCCGTCGCTGTTTCTGCGCACCGACACCTCTCTGCCGCCGTTCTACATCCTCCTGTACGTCGACGACTTGGTCTTTGCCACAGCTGACACTGCTGGACTCGCCTACGTGAAGTCCGAGCTGCAGAAGAGACACACGTGCACAGACCCGGGTGAACTGCGCAGCTACCTTGGCTTGCAGATCACTCGGGACAGAGCACGCCGCACCATTAGCCTGACTCAGTCACACATGGTGCTGCAGGTCCTTCAGCGCTTCGGCTTCACGTACTCCTCGCCTCAGGCCACTCCTCTGCCTACTCGCCATTCGCTCTCAGCTCTGCCTTCGGATGAGTCCGTAGAGTCGAGTGGCCCGTATCCAGAGCTTGTTGGTTGCCTCATGTACCTGATGACCTGCACACGACCTGACCTTGCATACCCTCTTAGCATTCTCGCACGCTATGTTGCTCCTGGGAGACACCGACCAGAGCACATGGCTGCAGCGAAGAGGGTATTGCGCTACTTGTACAGTACGTCGGGCATGGGGCTAGTGCTTGGAGGGCGCAGTCTAGTGGTCCTCACTGGGCACGCAGACGCTTCTTGGGCTGACAACCAGGCTACTCAGCGGTCGTCACAGGGTTACAACTTCAGCCTTGGTTCCGACTATCTCGTGGCGGGCTATTCACTCATCTTCTGTTCTCGGCTCCAGTTGTGAGGCTGAGATCTACGATGGGGCCTTGGTGGCACAGGAGCTTCGCTGGCTCACCTACCTGCTGACTGACCTCGGAGAGCCGCCTCGTTCTCCTCCAGTTCTGTACGTAGACAACAAGGCCATGCTGGCCTTGTGTCAAGAGCAGTGACTGGAGCACAGAACAAAGCACATAACTCTCCGCTACTTCCTTGCTCGTGAGCTAGAGCAGCGTGGACAGTTGCGGCTTGCGTACGTGGTCTCTGAGGCCAACACTGCTGATGTTTTCACCAAGGCACTTCCGCCTTGTGATCATCAGCGCTTCTGCACTCAGTTGGGTCTTGTCCTTGTCTTGCCTCACTTGCTCACCTCTTGACCTTACTTGTACTGTTACATATATATATATATATACCTGTTCTTGCTTGTCTATCCTTATATATATATATGCATATGTACTCCTGCATTAAGTGGCCTTGTGGCCTTGAACTTGTGCTCGGAATGTGTGGTGACTTGGTGATCCACCCTGAGTTTAGCTTTGCTTTGTTTGACTGGTCTTGTGACCCCCTGTTCTCCCCCACTTTGCCTATTGTGGTGTGTCAGAACATTATAGCTTATGCTTTTGTGTAAGTTGTAGTGGGGTATCCCCTAGGGGGTACAACCCAATTAGGGTTGGTACTTGTACCCACTTCATTCATATTTCATTCATTTTCGTTTCTTTCTCACTTTGGAGCGTGCTCGTTGGTGCTGCTTCGAAGGCTATGTGGAAGGCGAGCTGCGACCGCAAGTTTCACGATTCCTCCGCCACTGTGTTTGAGATTCTCCAGCTCATCCTCGCTTAGTTTCTTATAGCCTTCCAGATTTTTCTATGGCGAAGATCCAAGCACTCTCCAAAAAAACAACGGCGATCTGCCTCTTGCCTTGCCCGGGCAAAGAAAAACCGTTTTTTCACCTTCTCACGAGATGGTGTTCCGTCTATTCACCCAGAACTCCGCACCTCATGGCTCTTAAACGATTCGTTCCGACCTCCTTAGATGGTTTTCTCAGCACTATGTCTAGAGCGAACCACCTGCTGGGTGGTTGTCAGTGGACAGAGGATTAGCGTGTGTCATTCGCACGTTCTTATTGAAGGTTGGCTTGTTAGACGTTCTCCATTTTGCTCTATACACCTTGTTGTACCAGATTAAGATATTAATATATCCTTCTAACGTCAGAAGCGGCCCAATAAACTACTTCTTTCAGGACAACTCACAAACACCTCGTCCGCGTCGGCTCGACAAGCGTCCCGTTTGCTTGACGTGTCAGTTTCACACCATTACTGCTCTAGAAAGCAAACAACCATTCTGACACGTAATACGCCCTTCTGCACCGCTCAACGCCCTCGGTGCTACTCCCTTGGGAATGACGAAATTGACAGCTTGGCAAATGTTGGAGAATTTTACTCAATTCCGCGATAGCGCGGTTCGTTTTTTTTTTTCGCCACGTGACAAGCCTTCGATCGCGCGAACCGCGATCTGTTTTATTGTTCCCACAATATTCAAGAGAAACTTAGTTAAGTTTTGTACCGCACTGCCCGCGGGCAAAAATAGAACCCATTCGGGCATGGCATGCGCTAGGGAGGCATCAACCCTAAACACCTTGCCTCTATGCATCACCAAGGTTGATGCATCACTAACGCATGTTTTTCCTAGAGGGGTTTTATTTTTGTCCGCGGGCAGGGCAGTGCATTTGACTCACTAACGCCTAACCATATTTCTCTTAAAAAATTGTGGGAACAATAAATCAGATCGCGGTTCCCACGATCAAAGGCATGCCACGTGACGAAACTAAAACTAACCGCGATTCCACGACATTGTGTAAAACTCTCCAAAATTTGATCCTTCTGTCTCTCTATCCTTGCTTGTTCCAGGCTCTACTAACTCCCATCCCTTTCATAGAAGACATCGCAAGGTTCTGCTCTCGGTCCTATTTCGCTAAAATGTCCGTAGTCTCTAGCTAAGCGCTTGTTTCGTCGCAGTGCCCTGTGGTCGCGAAAATAAGTTTCCGTTATCGTCATCGCGAATATCGCAACGCATTTCGCCACGTACTTCGTCACGTATGGCACCCACTGGCGTCGGATCGTCAAACGCGGACGCAGCAGTCGGAGCAGGACCTACGACATGCGAAGCAACAGCAACGGCAGGGATAGCAGCAGGAGAGATATTAGAGGCACCAGCGTCAAATGGACTGATCGTCGGAACTAAGCGTTCGCCGTGTGCTGGCACGAGCGATGCTAGTAGGAGTAAAATACAGTTGAATCCTCTCGACTGGGCGTATCGTGGCGAAGGTTCCGCGAACATTGTCATGTCTTACTGCGGCCATGATCCTTCCCTGGTAAGCAGTCATGCTCCAAATGAGATGAGTTGAGTTTTGAAGCGCCTGTCTTACTGCGAAAATTATCCTTCCCTGGGAAGCACTCATAATCCGAATGAAAGGCAGCACAAGATAACAACAATGGCTGACGTGTTCAGTTTGAGGCAATAGCGAGTGACCAATCGGAAGAAAGAAGTGAAAGACATTAGCGATTGACGTCTCTTAATGCGGCCGGAGCTCCTTTGAGGTGCCGCTTCAGATTCCGCATAATATCATCTTTGATTTATGCTTCCTTGTTTTACCCATTCCTGTTTTCTCGTTTGCATATTGCACATAATACCTCCTCTAAGTCGCACATTTCCACCAAAACACTGCATATCCCGCCTTTTTCTTTTAGATTTATCTGTTGCGCTTTAAATGCTTGCATAATAAACGCGTGCAGTACTCTTTTGCAACTCGTTTGCCACTTCGGCTGCTTGTGCCCTTTGTTTCGTCTCATTGCACAGATTCCCTTTGTTTCTCTCAGTGCACTGATTCCCTTTGTGTTTCGTCTCAGTGCAATGATTCCCTTTGTTTCTCTCAGTGCACTGATTTCCTTTGTGTTTCGTGTTCAACTCTGAAACCCGTGTTGTGCCCATGTCAATCCGCATCAGCACCGCTTCAAACATCTCGAGCTCATGAGCGTGAGATGTTTGTACCGATGTTCGTGAGCAAGCGGTCCTGATCGCGAGACTTCTCAAATTGAACATTCTTATCCCATCACATCGCATTCGGCCCTGCCTGCCAGGCTGCGACTGCTTTGAGTCTTCTAAAAAAATCGTCTGATGTTGAGAAGCCTCAAAGCAAGCATTCTCACCCCACAACGCTCGCCCCTGCGACTGCTCCTCTGGCCATTCGCTCCCTTCCTTCCCCAGCACCTCCCTCGTACCAGAAAGGCATGGCGCTGCACGTGAGCAAGCAACAGCTATAGTCTCGTACCTATCACACTCTCTCTCCTGCCCCTGACCCTCTGTTTCCCCCTTCTCCTCCCGCTCGCCCTCTTCCCACCTTTTCTCAAAACCCCTTCCACCCTGGACGACATTTGTAGATCGACTAAAAAAGAACCCCTTCCACCCAGAAAGGCATGGTGCTGCTGTGCGTGTGCAATGAACAGCTGGATTTTTCTTGCCTTTGTTACTGACACTCGCCCCTGCCACTTCTCCTCTGTTCCTTCCTTCTCCTTCACTTGGCCCTCACCTCACCCTTTCCCAAAACCCCTTCCACCCAGAAAGGCATGGTGCTGCGCGTGTGCAAGGAAAGCCCCGATCCTCACCACTCTTGCTACTCACACTCGCCTCTGCCACTGGTCCTCTGTTCCTTCTTCCTCCCCCCCCTTTTTGCCCCTCTCCTCGCCTTTTCCCCTAAACCCTTCCGTCAGAAAGGCATGGTGCTGCGGGTGTGCAAGGAACGGCCAGATTCGCACCATCCGGAAGCAGAGGTTGTGGCCGGGGAGTCCCTATATGGAGCTTCGGCAGGAGCCTCGGAAGCAGGCTCGGCAACAGGCTCGGCGGGAGGCTTGGTGCGGCCCGAGCCTGTGCTGCGTCCGGAGGAGCGGGAGCTGTGGGGAGAAGTGGTTCCGGAGCTGGCAGTGGCTCCGGATCGGATCGACCTGCTGCATCAGTTCGTGTCAAGAGTCATGGCGCCACTCATTGGAGAAGAGTTCGTGGAGGCAGGGGTGAGTGGTTTGTCCTTCAACAGGTGACAACTCCTGGAAAGTGGCTCAAATATTGGCTCCAGAACGGAACGACCTGCTGCACCAATTCGTGTCAAGAGTCATGGCGCCACTCATTGGAGAAGAGTTCGTTGAGGCAGGGGTGAGTGCTTTAGCCCTAGCAGGTCGGTGCTGAGTACGTTGTTGTAATATGTCAGGGTGCCTGGTGCTTGAGAGCTGGCAGTGGCTCCGGATCGGATCGACCTGCTGCACCAATTCATGGCTCGGGTCATGGCGCCTCTCATTGGAGAAGAATTCGTGGAGGCAGGGGTCAGTGGTTTGATTTTAGCAGGGATCTTGCCACTTTTTTTGAGTCATCTCAAGCCTTGAGCGAGCTGGTACATGAGCGCTGGCAGTGGCTCCTGGATCGGGTTGACCTGCTGCATTGATATCTAGCTCGGGTGGTTGCGCCACTGATAGGAGAAGAATTGGTGGAGGCAGGGGTGTGTCCTTGAACTAGTGAGACGCTTGTTCAAGCACGCACCCCTGCCTCCACAAACTCGTCTCCTATCAGTGATACTACGAACTGGTGTAGAGGTAAAAATGCCACTGTCTCAAATCAGATCTGATTGACAAACCACACCAATATGTGGCTCCAGGCCTGGGGCGAGTGCTTTAGCTCGAGCCCGCCTACCTGCCTGCCTGCCCTCCCCGCAAGGTGACTTTTGAGTCGACTCAAAAGTCATATGTGGCTCCAGGCCTGGGCTGAGTGCCTTAGCTTGAGCCCGATTACCGGCCTGCCTGCCTTCCCCAACCTCCCCCTGCTGCAGACCACGGTGAAGGTTCCTCGCAGTTTCCTGCAAGATAGAAGAGGCGCTGCTGGTCACGGATCTGACTCACCTGCTCACACTCCCCACTCACTCACCCGCCCTTCCCCACTGCTTTTCCCTCCCTTCCTTCCTTCCTGCCTTCATTCCCGCCTGCCTGCCTGCCTGCCCGCCCGCCCGCCTGCCTGCCTCCTACCCGTGGACCACGGTGAAGGTTCCTCGTAGCATTCTGCAGGAGGTAGCGGATCACATACGCCCAAGACGCCCTCCCTGGAGGCAGGCTCAAGGCGACGTGGATTTGAAAATAGAAGAGGCGCTGCTGGTGACGGATTTGACCCACCTGCTCACACTCCCCACTCACTCGCCTGCCCTTCCCCACTTCTCCTCTTCCTGCCTGCCTGCGTGCCCGCCTGCCCTGCCCCTTCCCTGTCATCTCCTTCCCTCCTCCCTCCTCCCTGTCCACAGACCACGGTGAGGGTTCCTCGCAGTTTCCTGCAACAGGTAGCAGACCACATCCGCCCAAGGCGACCACCCTGGCGGCAGGCTCAGGGCGACGTGGACTTGCAGATAGAAGAGGCGCTGCTGGTAACGGATCTGACTCACTCGCCCTTTTCCACCTGCCTTTTGCTCCCTCCCTCCCTCCCTGCCTGCCCCTTCCCTGCACCGCCTTCCCGTCCCTTCCCCCCTCCCCACCGCAGACCACGGTGAGGGTTCCTCGCAGCTTCCTCCAAGAGGTAGCAGACCACATTAGGCCAAAACGCCCCCCCTGGAGGCAGGCTCAGGGCGACGTGGACCTTCAGATAGAAGAGGCGCTGCTGGTGACTGATCTGACTCACCTGCACCTGGAGGACGAGGAGTGGGACGAGGACTGGGAGGAGACGGTGCGGGAGTACGGGCACGGGACCCGCGGGTATAATGGCACGACGTTTTGCATCGAGCTGAAGGTGAGCGAGAGGGCGCAAGGTGAAGCTGCAAGTCCCCCCGCGTTCTCTGCTTTGAAATCCCGGATTGAACCCCCCTCCACCTCCCTCTTCCCTCCCTTTTCCCGCTCCTTCCCTCTTTCCAGCCTAAGACCGGGTTCTGCCCCTCCTCCCCTTGCATCGCGCCGGCCAATCACGTGAAGACAACTGTCCCGCGCTTCCCCATGCACCAGCAGCTGAAGCTGTCAGAGGGGGAGGTGGCAGAGAGCAGTGCATACAACCCTCTAGACCTCTTCTCTTCCTCGCCCCCCCGCGTTCTGTCTGCTCTGAGAACATTGATCGATAACCCGCAGAACAATCTGAGGATTTTTGCAGATGGGAAGTTGCTGTTGGGGGGGCATATACACAGGCAGGCGGACAGGGGGAAGGGGAAAAAGAAGAAAGGGAAAGGGGAGAAGGGGGAGAAGGTGGGGGGGGAGGCGCAGGTTGAAAGAGTGAATTCGGTGGATTTAGCGGCTATGAGAAGGGAGGAGAAAGCGCAGGAGGCAGCTTTTGAGGCGCCTCAAAAGTCGGTGGATTTAGCGGCTATGAGAAGGGAGGAGAAAGCGCAGGAGGCAGCAGGCTTGGCTGCTGCGGAAGCAGCCCTGGAAGGGTTTGTGCGTGCTTGGAAGGAGGCACCCACCAGTAATACCAGTGCTGCTGGTAGCGGTGATGGTGGTGATTCTGCTGCTGCTGCTGCTGCTGATGGCTTGCCAGCAGCAGAATCACCATCCTCCGTGCCTCATGTGAGTCACCCTCGGGTGGACGCTCTCTTGTCTCTGGCCACAGAGTGCCTTGTGCAGTGTGGGGCGCTGGAGAAGCTTCTGGCAGCACAGAAGCTGGATAAGTGGGACATTGAAGGCACCATTCATGCTTATAACGAGTACATGAAGCAGAGGAAGTCAACGCCTTCAGCTCCTGCTGCTGCTGCTGGTCCTGGTACTGCTCCTGGTGCCGAGGTTCCAAAGGAGATAATGGAAGATTGCAGGAAGGTTCTTCGCGATTTCCTCATCGCAGCGACGGCCAAGGACTGTGGGATCATGCTGGCCCTCCGAGCAGCCATTCCTGGAGAGACCCTGGAAGCTTCACAGAAGCTTCGCAGTGTTGTGTGCCCATCCAGCGGGTGCAAGTACTTTTACAGGGTGAGATGCTTCTTGTTGTCAGCTGCTTCTTGTTGTCAGCTGCTACTTGTTGTCAGCTGCTTCTTGTTGTCAGCTGCTTCTTGTTGTGAGCTGCTTCTTGTTGTCAGCTGCTACTTGTCAGCTGCTTCTTGTTGTCAGCTGCTTCTTGTTGTCAGCTGCTTCTTGTTGTCAGCTGCTTCTTGTTGTCAGCTGCTTCTTGTTTTCAGCTGCTTCTTGTTGTCAGCTGCTTCTTGTTGTCAGCTGCTTCTTGTTGTCAGCTGCTTCTTGTTGTGAGCTGCTTCTTGTTGTCAGCTGCTACTTGTCAGCTGCTTCTTGTTGTCAGCTGCTTCTTGTTGTCAGCTGCTTCTTGTTGTCAGCTGCTTTTTTTTCAAACCGTTCCCACCCCCCTTCACCCCTCCCCTTTCCCCTCATCCTTTGAATGCAGCTTTCAATAATGGATCTGGACATCAAGCCGTTGCGCAAAATGCCCAAGTATTGGAGCATGGACCAACAAATCGTCAGGCACTACTGCTCAGTTACGCGAGACGTGGAGGCATGAGAACTGGCATGACTTAAACATGTCGCACAACTAAAAGGTTCAATTATATCCGCGTCGATTATCATTTGTCTTCCGTACGATTGTTAGAAATATGTGCTGTTTTGAATGGGTGCGATTCTTTTTGTTGCTCCTTTCCCCGAGCTGGCCGGGTTTTATGTAAGGGGGATTTTGACCTCTAGGGTTTGTGTTGTGAGTTATGGTCAGTGAATTTGCGAATGTGGTGAGAATGGATTCGGATTTTCTTCGCGATATACGCAAATGCTTGTACTTGTCTGTGGATGGCACTAACGAGGACTTGAAGCGAAGCGAACTGTGTCGCATGAAAGCGGCGAAGGATGTGGAATTCACTAGAGCATACGACGGAAGTTGCGGCCAATCCCTTGCACGTCCTGGCTTCAGTGACGCTGCACACAAGTCGCAGAACGAACGGGCAGCAGGAAATGAATCTCCACAAGTGGGTGGTGAAAGTTGCATGGTCACTGAACGTATGCACAAGGTTACACCGCAAACCCTGAAGTTCGTCGTCTTCAGGAATCGTCCCTGCGGTTTCTTTTCGCGTTCATCGTTCGGTTTCGCCAGCGATCTGCCATTTCATCAGAACCCATGAACGCCTTCTCGGTAGTGGTTACTTGGCCGTGTCCCACACGTTCATTTTGACACCGCAACTCCTCAAACCGCTCGAGAAGCATTTTTTGAGCGCTATAGAACGTAGTGAACCGCACGATACCGAGGCAAGGTGGGAACACCTTTGGTCACTCATCACGAAACACACTTGATTGGTACAACAATTTGCGAAGTGACAGTAGTGCCAGAGTCTGACGTGTCCAGAAAAGTGAACCGCCATTTTACACCGTAGTGTCTTCGCTGTTCACCAAGCTAGCTGCTGTACATAGGTTGAAAGCCATGACTTCACCGTTTCCTGAAGCATCCCCGCATGGGCATAGATTGAACGGTGATCCGTTGCTGCTTCACGGTGATCAGGGTATACACTGGTGATTCCCAGAGAGCGAACGAGCTTGCGGATCAAGAGGAAATAGTTGCAACATATAGTCGCCTCCCACGACCCGTTGGAGCGCCTCTAACGGCAATACTGACATATAGTTTCGAGTTCTTGTGACATATTTTTTGACGTGTTATTATTCTGGAGCCACGAACAGCTGGCGTCATTGTCGCGGCGACATCAGGTAACGTACTTTTAGCGCTGACTCAGAGACACGCACGCACTCTATGACTCCGCATCCCATTGCGATTAATTTCGAAGAAGCGCGAGCTCCGCATTTGATTCCATGCTTCTCAGCGAATCGAGACTCAGCATCTCGTTGCGTCTGACTCTGTTTCTGAAAGGGAACCCTCGCCATTTCGCAATGGCGTATTACAAGACCCTTGCAAACGAAAGAACCACCCCGATAAGCGACAATGCCAAGAGAGTGCGTAGGCCTGTTAGAAGCTTGACACGTATACAACGACAGCACTCATAGTAACCATGTCGTTACTAACGCTCGTTACCAGCAGCAGTATTTAACAGTATATTGTGACTGACTCCTAACCCTAGCTAGTGTACTCTAACGTTACCAATTCATCCCCGTTTAGAGGCACCAGACTGCTCGCCTTTAACGAGACACAATTTTCTTCTCGCACAGCAAGGCATCACGTTCCGCGGCTCCTATTTGAGCAGCCATGTCAAAGAATAAACCACCCGCGCCGCTTATTTCGTCCTTAAAACCCGGCCTACCTCCGCCGCATCCAACGGCTTCGTCAGGCCGGCTGCAGCGAGCTCACAGCGATGCTGCGAAGAGGGTTCAGTTCGCGACAGGTGGCATGTCGCCATTGGAGGAACAGCTACACGGAGCCGGCGCTGCTAGTCATGCCACGTCGACTGCAGACAGCCAGAGTGAGTTCGGTTTTCTCTTGGTTAGGGAGGAGCGATGTTGCTACTCTCCCTCCCCAGCTCTCCCCATCCTCAGCCATCCACTGTTGTTCTTCCTGGTTCATTTTCACTATGAATTTGCTAAATGAGTGGTATATATACGTTTTGAAAATATGCTTTGTAAGTGGTCCATATTCTTTTTTGAACTCCTTTACAAGTGGTTCGTTTTTTCTCTCAACTTTTTCACCCAGTAACTTTACTGCCTCTGCTTTCATCCCTCCTCATGGCATCATGGCATGGCATGTCATGGTCTGGCATGGCATGGCATGGCATGGTCTGGCATGTTATGGCATGGCATGGCATGGCATAACATACAACTGAACGGAATGGCATGGCATGGCATGACATGCAACTGAACGGAATGGCATGGCATGGCAGGGGACATTGGGTCGTCAGGCGGCCTGAGACGCACACAGACGCTCGACTCGCACTCCTTGTATCCCGACCTTGATAAGATCATGGGTGCGTGCTGCTTGCACTCTGCATGTGCTGGTTAGGCTCATGCACTTGGGACAGCAGGGACAAGTTGGTTGCTTGGAAGGCTGAGGCGGACACAGACGCTCGACTCACACTCCTTGTATCCCGACCTTGATAAGATCATGCGCACGTGCGGCTGCTGGTTCTGGGGCACGGGTTGGTTTGTGTAAGGGGTTGCTATGGCTCATTCAGACTATCGATGCTCGACTCGCACGCTTTGTGTCCCGACCTTGATAAGATCATGGGTGCGCGCTGCTGCTTGCACTCTGCACGGTCTGGATTGGTTGGGTTGGTTTGGGACAGCGGGGAAGAGGGGGGTTGCATGGGCGTCTTAGGCTCACAAGACTCTCGACTCGACTCGACTCTCACACGCAGACAGTCCTCTGTATCCCGACCGAGACAAGATCATGGGTGTGTGCTGCTGGTTGTTTGCACTCGTGCATGGTCTGGTCTGGGTTGGATGGATCATGGAACCGCGGAGAAGAGGGGGTTACATGCAGGAATGCGTAGATCGGATCAAAGAGGCGGAGGACGCATGGGTGTGCCCTGACACTCACTCCCCACTTGTCTCTCCATCTCCACCCCCCATGCAGGTTCAGAGTAGAATGAACAGGGGGTGGACTTTTGGAAGGTTCGGTCAAAAGAGGCAGATCACACTCAGGCGACCCCTGAGTCCTGACTGACACCCACTCCCCACTTGTCTCCATCTCTCCCCCCCTCCCCACGTAGGTTCAGAGGAGAAGGAGCAAGGAGTTGATTTCTGGAAGGTTCGGTCAACAAGCCTGGAGGTTCGGATCAAAGAGGCGGAGGACGCTCGGGCGAGCATTACTGCCCAGGCCGTGGCTCTGGCACAGCGCAATCAGGAGCTGACGAGCAGACTGAGACAGTTTCAAGAGGAGGTGAGGAGAGAAAAGCTTACGTACGAGGTTGTTTTTGAGTCGACCCAAAAAGCAATCAGGAGCTGACGAGCAGACTGAGACAGTTTCAAGAGGAGGTGAGGAGAGAAAAGCTTACGTACGAGGTTGTTTTTGAGTCGACCCAAAAAGCAATCAGGAGCTGACGAGCAGACTGAGACAGTTTCAAGAGGAGGTGAGGAGAGAAAAGGTTACGTACGAGGTTGTTTTTGAGTCGACCCAAAAAGCAATCAGGAGCTGACGAGCAGACTGAGACAGTTTCAAGAGGAGGTGAGGAGAGAAAAGGTTACGTACGAGGTTGTTTTTGAGTCGACCCAAAAAGCAATCAGGAGCTGACGAGCAGACTGAGACAGTTTCAAGAGGAGGTGAGGAGAGAAAAGCTTACGTACAAGGTTGTTTTTGAGTTGACCCAAAAAGCAATCAGGAGCTGACGAGCAGACTAAGACAGTTTCAAGAGGAGGTGAGGAGAGAAAAGCTTACGTACGAGGCTGTTTTTGAGTCGACCCAAAAAGCAATCAGGAGCTGACGAGAAGACTGAGACAGTTTCAAGAGGAGGTGAGGAGAGAAAAGCTTACGTACGAGGTTGTTTTTGAGTCGACCCAAAAAGCAATCAGGAGCTGACGAGCAGACTGAGACAGTTTCAAGAGGAGGTGAGGAGAGAAAAGCTTACGTACAAGGTTGTTTTTGAGTCGACCCAAAAAGCAATCAGGAGCTGACGAGCAGACTGAGACAGTTTCAGGAGGAGGTGAGGAGAGAAAAGCATGCGTACGCAGTGATTCTCGGGCAGGTGGGTGAGGATGGGAGAAGAGACGAAGTGCGAGCATCACTGCCCAGGCCGTGGTACTGGCTGCGTGTAACTAGGAGCCGCCGAACCGACTGAGACAGTTTCAAGTGGAGGTGAGTATGGAGAGGAGTGGGTGGCAATGCTCTTACTGCCCAGGCTGTGGCTGTTGCTGCTCGCATTCAGGAGCTGACGAGCAGACTGAGAGAGATGGAGGAGGAGGTGAGGGAAGGGGCAAGCGGTGGAGGGAAGTGTTGGGAGGAAGTGATGGGAGTGGAAAAGAATGTGCGCAAAGGGCGAGCGTTACTGTCCAGTCCAGGGAATGTCTTCATTGTATCCCACCTAAGGGTCGAGATTCATTGCGGAGTAGCTGCAAACCTGTAGAAATCACTTAAGCAAATATGATTGAGACTGGAAAAATGCTTCCAGAAATTCAAGCGGATCTCAAAACCTTCAAACTCAAAAGAACCCTTATTCGCAAACTAGTTGCGGCCTTCGAGACAGAACCCCGCTAGGCCTTCATCAGTGCTGCTTACAGGTTCAAACAAGAAAGAAAGGTCTCGGGCAGAGGCTAGCTAAGTACCATGCTCCTGCCCTCGAGATCTACTTTATTGTAAACCAACTACCCAGATTGCTAATCATACCCAATTGCCAACTAAGCCTGGGGGTAAACCCAATGTGCAGTGTCAGCCTTCGCGAAAAGTCTTCAAACGACTTGATCGGTTCGGTAACCGCGCACGCACGTGTAACCTTTGCAGGTTAAAATCCTCTCCACAAAAATCGTATCAGCTGTTGGTTCACCATTCGTGCTCTGCTCCCAGCAGCGTTGGAGCAGCAGCTCTCAGACATCAAGCTGCGCCTTGACCGCGCCCTCCACGAATGCTCCTCCCTCGCTCCCTGCCCTATGTGCTCCCATTCCCTCCCTGCCTTATGTGCTCCCACTCTCTGCTCCCACTCCCTCCACAGGGCGACACAGCAGCCTTTGCAGCGTTGGAGCAACAACTCACGGACGTCAAGCTCCGCCGCCTAGATCGCGCCCTCCACGAATGCTCCTCCCTCGCCCCCTGCCCTATGTGCTCCCACTCCCATTCCCTGTCCCTCCCTTATCACAGGGCGACACAGCCGCCTTTGCAGCGTTGGAGCAACAACTCACAGACTTCAAGCTGCGTCTCGACCGCGCCCTCCAGGACTCATCCGTTGGAACAACAACTGACAGACGTCAAACTCCGCCTCGACCGCGCCCTCCACGAATGCTCCTCCCTCGCCGGCACCAGCAGCGGCAGAGCAGCGCTGGGCGGGGCTCTGGGGCTGGATGCCTCTGGATGGAAAGATCACCATGAATATCCCATCTCCCCTCCCGTCATATGCACCTCTCACTTCCCTCTCCCCTCCCCTTCCTCACTCCCCTTAATACTACCTCAACAGGGCGACACAGCAGCATTCGCAGCGTTGGAGCAACAACTCACAGACGTCAAGCTGCGCCTCGACCGCGCCCTCCACGAATGCTCCTCCCTCGCCGGCACCAGCAGCGGCAGAGCAGCGCTGGGAGGGGCTCTGGGGCTGGATGCCGCTGGAAACATCGCCATGAACATGGTCCCGAACAGCAGCAGCGGGGGGGGTTTGGCTGCGTTAGGGTTAGGGTTAGGGTCTGCTAGGCGGATGGGCGCTGGTAGTTATTTTCCCGATGCTGCCGGGGCTGCTGGGGGGGGAGCAGGGCGCGTGGGGGGAAAGGGAGGCGGAAAAGGAGGAGGGGGGATGGGAGGAGGGGAGGGTGATGGGTTGAATCTTCAGGTGGCTTTGGAGAGGGCGCCGTTTATGATCGCGCACCTGGACACGAGTTTGAGATACACCTGGGTGTTCAACCACAACCTGCTGGTCAATCAGGTGAAAACAACAGAGGTCAGGCGAATCTTCAGGTGGCTTTGGAAAGGGCGCCTTTTATGTTCTCTGGATACGAGTTTGAGATACACCTGGGTGTTCAACCACAACCTGCTGGTGAATCAGGTGAGAACAACAGAGCTCAGGTGAATGTGGGCTTAAGGAAGATGGAGGGTTTCCGGGTCAACTCATAAGCCGGCCTTAGCACCTCCTTATATTGCTCCAATCCAAGGCTCTTCATCTTTCCATGTTCTTTTGCGACCCTCTACTCCTCTTCCCCCACCAACTCCCTTTTCCCACGTCCTGGCTTCTCTCCTCCTCCCCCTCGCCATCCCAACCGTCCAATCAGGACATGATTGGAAAGAGGGATTTTGACATCCTGCCACGTGGCACTCTGGGAGTGGAGGAGGCGATGGAGATGAAGCAGAGGGCGCTAGCCACCCCACTTCTCTTACACTCCTTCCCTTCCCACTTCTCTTTCTCCTCCCAACTCCCTTTCTTCCCAACCCCGCTCCCAACTCCCCTTCCCCCCCATCTCCCATTCCCCCATCCCCATCACCGTTCAGGATATGATCGGCAAGAGGGACTATGATATCCTGCCACGTGGCACTCTGGGAGTGGAGGAGGCGATGGAGATCAAGCAGCGGGCGCTGGCCACAGGCAAGGCGCAGCGGGGCGAGGTGGTGTGGCAGCTTCCCACTGCCACCACTTCCTACCCCTCCAAACCCCTCATTCACCCCTTCTCTGCTTAAGCTCCCTTTCCTCTTTCCCACCACCTCCCCTTCCCTCACCCCCACTCCCTCTCTTGTTTCTCCGGTCCCCGCTCCCCATTGAACCAGGATATGATTGGGAAAAGGGACTGTGACATTCTGCCACGTGGCACTCTAGGAGTGGAGGAGGCGATGGAGATCAAGCAGCGGGCGCTGGCCACAGGCAAGGCGCAGCGGGGCGAGGTGGTGTGGCAGCTTCCTGGAAGGCCCCCCATGGTGTGGGTGACAACTGCCCGGCCAATCAGAGACGAGAAGGGGCGGACTGTGGGAGTGACTACATCGAGTGTGGACATAACAGAGGAGGTATTACGAAGGGCAGGGGCCAGGGAGAGGGGGAAGGGAGGGAGGGAAGGGAGGTTGAAAGGTGGGGGATACTTATAGGTCGTTATTTTGAGTTTTCTTAAACTGTCTGCAAAAAGAAGGGATGTATGTATGTGCTTGTAGGAGAGTGATGCATTCATGCTGTGGGTGATGACTGCTCGTCCAATCAGGGACGAAAAGGGGCGGACTGTGGCGGTGACTACATCGAGCGTGGATATAACAGAGGAGGTATTACCACCCTCCCCTTTCCTCCCTGTCCCCTTCCCCCCGCCCACCCTCCCCACTCTCGACTCCCCCTTTCCTCCCGTCCCCCTCCCCCCACCTCCCCCCCCCCCCCCCCCACCAGGCGCAGTACAAGGAGCGGCTGATGGCTCTGAGGGCGGAGATGATGGTGCGCAGCACAACGGAGAAGGAGCTGCTCTCTCCCCTCTGCTCCTCACCCCCTCTTCCCCTTCATTCCCCACTCCCTCTTGTTGCTGCTGCTGCTGCTGCTGTTGCTGCTGCTTTACCCCTTCCCTCCTTCCCCACCCCCTTCCCCACCTCCCCCCCACCAGGCGCAGTACAAGGAGCGGCTGATGGCTCTACGAGCGGAGATGATGGTGCGCAACACAACGGAGAAGGAGCTGCGGCGAGCATACGAGCTCACAGAGGACGCCATGCGCGCCAAGTCCATGTTCCTCGCCATCATGTCCCACGAAATCCGCACGCCCCTCAACGGGATCCTCGGATTGGCCGAAGTTCTGCTCGAATCTGGAGCGTTGGATGAGGAGCAGCGCGAGATCGTCGAGACGATGATGTCATCGGGCGTGATCATATCAGATATTCTCGCGGATATTTTAGATCTCGCGAGTATGGAAGCCGGGGAGATGAAGCTGGAGGAGCACCCCTTTGAGCCGGTCGCGGTGGTGAATCATATCTTAAAAATGGCCATGGCTGCTACTAAGGAGAAGGGGATCAAAGTCCTAGCGGATATATCTCCGGACATTCCGGCGCAGATTTTAGGAGACGAGTTGCGCGTGCGGCAGGTGATTAAATACCTGGTTCTGAACGCGATTAAGTTCACGCACACGGGGCATATCTTGCTGCGGGTGTCGGCACATGATAGGGATCCGTCTGCTGCTATTGTGAAGGCTACTGGCGCGTATGCTGTGGGGGGATGGAATGTTCCCGGAGGGGGGGGGAGGGGGAGCAGGAGGAGGAGCAGCAGGGGGTTCTGGTGCTGCTGCTACCTTAGGCCGGGGGAAAGGGCTGGCTGTGGAAATGCACAGTCATAATAAGGGCGCGAGGGCAGGGGGAAGCGGGCGGTTACCGCTGCTGTCCGATGTTACGGAGGAGCATTTGAAGAAGCTGGCAAGTTTGGGGAGTTTGGAGCAGGCTGCGCCGCTATTGGCCGAGCTTCCGACTGAGGAGTATGAGGAGGAAGAGGAGGAAGAGGATGGGGATAGCGAGAGGACGAGAGGGGAGGAGGAGGGGGGGATGCTGAGACCTGGAGGGGGAGGAGCAGGAGGAGGGTTCTGGGGCTCGATTGTACCAGCAGGAGGAGCAGAGAAGGGGAAGGGGAAAGCGACAGAAGTGGAGAGGCAGATAGGCGGGGATATGGACGTGTGGTTGTGGTGCGAGGTGCACGACACAGGCGTAGGGATCCCCAAAGACGCCTTCCCTCTCCTCTTTGAGAAATTCACCCAAGTGGAAGGCGGTCCGACGCGAGCCTACGGCGGCACGGGGCTGGGACTAGCTATCTGCAAGCAGCTGGTAGAGCTCATGCACGGGAAGATGGCAATCAAGTCCAAGGTGGGAACCGGGTCGGTGTTTGCGTTCTCGGTGTGCTGCCAGCGGACCTCCCCCCGCTCCCGCCCGGCCTCGCCCACGGGCGCGAGCGCGATTGCTGCGGCTGTGAACGCGCCGTTCGGGTTTCCCAAGAGTGTGTCTGTGTCGGGGCCTTCGCCTGGGTCTGTGGCCAGGGCGCTGTCGCCTGTGAGGGAGCATATGGGGCAGGTGGGGGGAGGAATGGGGGGGGGCGAGGATGAGTATACAGAAGAGGAGGAGGAGGAGGAGGAGGAGGAGGAGGACGAGGAGGGGGATTATGAGAGTGAATATACGAATGACTCGCCGATTGCGATCACGCCGAAGCACCTGCGGCAACCACGGGGAGCAGCAGCAGCAGCAGGAGCAGCAGCAGGAGCAGGAGCAGGAGCAGGAGCAGCGGGAGCGGGAGCAGGGGTGGTGGGAGGGGGGCTGGCGGGGCTGCTGGCCCGAGCCAAGGCGATGAAAGGGGAGGTGGGGGGTTCAGGGGAGGGGTTATCTGGGGGAGGCGCATCTGGTGCAGGCGCCATAGGAGGAGCTGGGTCGGTGCCGTCTCTGTCCCCTGCTTCGGCCAAAGGCCCAGAGACAAAGATTCTTGTGGCTGAAGACAACCCCGTGAGTGTGGGGTGCGGTGCGGTGGGGTGGGAAGGGGTGGGGTTGGGTGGAGTGAGCTGAGCCTGTGGGGTGTCTATAGGGTTACTGGGAGGAAACAACTGGGTCGCTGCCTTCTCTGTCCCCCGCCTCGGCCAAAGGCCCAGAGACCAAGATCCTGGTGGCTGAAGACAACCCCGTGAGTCCTGAGGTTATGTTTGAGTTGTGGGGTGGGGTGGGGTGGGGTGGGTTGGGTTGGGGTGGGGTGGGGTGGGGTGGGGTGGAGTGGGGTGGGTTGGGTCGGGGTGGGGTGGGGTGGGGTGGGGTGGGGTGGGGTGGGGTGGGGTGGGGTGGGGTGGGGTGGGGTAAGCCCGTGCCTTCCCTGTCCCCTGTATCAACCAAAGGCCCAGAGACGAAGGTCGTTGTTGCTGAAGGCAATCCTGTGAGTGTTGCTGTGGGGCGGGATGCGGAGGAGGCAGTTAGGATGAGAGGAAGTGTTTGGCCTGCTCGTGTGGCTGGCGGAAATGCCCCCAGTCTCACTCAGCTCCTATCCCTCCCATGCCATGTCATGCCCTCCCCGCTCCCCCTTCAGGACAGGGTGAACGTGAGCATGGACGTGCTGCTGTCCATGCTCAAGCGCCTGGGCCTGCGAGCCACAGTGCGAGCCACAGTGCGAGCCACAGTGCGAGCCACACACACTGGCCAAGAACGAGGGGTGGATGGATGAAGCCGTGCTGTTTGATCCGCTGCTCTCAGGCTTGACTCAGCTCCTTTCGCTGCCTGCCCCACACCCGCTTCCCTTGAACCCCAGGTCAACGTGATGGTGCTGCTCTCCATGCTCAAGCGCCTGGGGCTGCGCGCCACAGTGGCCAAGAACGGTGTGGAGGCGTTGGAAGCGGTGCGGAAGGAGCGGTTTGACCTGCTGCTGTCGGACCTCTGCATGCCCCTCATGGATGGGTTGCAGGTACGCGTTGACTTCGGTTGACTTGGGTTGACTTTTGCTGACTCCTTGTGGACGCATATCGAGGGTTGTTGAAGACATAGGCAGTGAAGAAGGAGCGGTTTGACCTGCTGCTGTCGGACCTCTGCATGCCGCTCATGGACAGGCTACAGGTAGGCGTTGACTCCCGTCGCCTCCCGTTGACTCCCGTTGACTCCCTTTGACTCCCGTTGACTCCCGTTGACTCCTGTTGACTCTCGTTGACTCCCGTTGGCTCTCGTTGACTCCCGTTGACTCTCGTTGACTCCCGTTGGCTCTCGTTGACTCTCCTAAGTTGTTCAAACAAGGGCCCTGTTCGACTGGCGCATCAGGCACAGGCTCGGGTACCGGCAACAGTAAAGTGTGCTCCCTCGAAGCTTCTGAGATAAGCGAACAAGTGTTGACTCGGGTCTGGGATCAGCTGACTCGGGTCTGGGATCAGCTGACTCGGGTCTGGGATCAGCTGACTCGGGTCTGGGATCAGCTGACTCGGGTCTGGGATAGGCGCATGAGCACCGAAGCGAACTGGTGCATGATGCCAGCCGAACACCCTTTTTGGCCCCAGGTTTGGGATCTGAATGGCGTTCCCGGAACTCTCCTCTCCTGGCAAACCGACGCACCACTGATGCGCGGATAGTGCATCCGTGGAGAGCTAGCACCATGCGTGCACCAGCTGATGCGCGGATGGTGCATCCGTGGAGAGCTAGCACCATGCGTGCACCAGCTGATGCGCGGATGGTGCATCCGTGGAGAGCTAGCACCATGCGTGCACCAGCTGATGCGCGGATGGTGCATCCGTGGAGAGCTAGCACCATGCGTGCACCAGCTGATGCGCGGATGGTGCATCCGTGGAGAGCTAGCACCATGCGTGCACCAGCTGATGCGCGGATGGTGCATCCGTGGAGAGCTAGCACCATGCGTGCACCAGCTGATGCGGGGCAGCATAAGGTGCCCGCCAAGAATCATCCAGCGAGCTTTTCCCCGCACAAACGAACACCCCCTCCTAAAAAAGTTTGGTCCCTTCCCTGCAAGCGTGGGGGCAAAACAGCCCTGACATGTGTGTGGCAAAACAGCAGGAAACGCAGCACATATACCTTCCGCGAGATTGAAGAAAGGTTTTGAGACGTCTCAAAACCCTTCCGCGAGTTTGACAAACTTGACAGACCAATTGGACTGTTTTGACCAACCCCAAACCACTACCTCTCGTTTGAGCACCACATCCGAGCCTGAGCTGGTACCTGAGCACCACATCCGAGCCTGAGCTGGTACCCGAGCCTCACCACTGATGCGCCAGTGGAATAGGGTGAAGAAAGTGGATCGGTGAACTTAGGGCACGATAGGAAGAAGAAATCTCCTTAGCAAGAAAATGGTACAAGTCTTAAAGACTAGAGCAAGGTCCTTGTCAAGGATAATCCCTAGTGAAGTGGGAAGCCACATATATGTGGCTGAACTCTTGAGGCTAGCTGCAGCACCTCAATGCTGAGGGCTAGGCTAGCCAACCTTGCCAAGCTAGCAAGTGAGGCCACATGTTGCACATGTGGGCCAGGCTGGAACAACAGCCCACATGACAGCATATGGCACACCATAGAGGCCAGCAAGGTGAGTGTGGGATGAGTGGACAGGTGGCAATGTCAGCTGTGACCACACTTCACTGTGGTGGAGTGTGGTAGAGTGTGGACATGTAATGTGGAGCATAATGAGAAGGGAACCTGCAGCTACTGAGAATTGAACCCACAACCTCTAAGACCACAAGTGAGAATCTACCATCCGGGACATATTTGCTGCACAACACAGGGCCAAGGTTGACTCAGGTTGACACGTATCAGAGGTGGTGAGTGAAGGAGCGGTTTGACCTGCTGCTGTCGGACCTCTGCATGCCGCTCATGGACGGGCTGCAGATAGGAATTGACTCCCGTCGATTCCCGTTGACTCTCGTTGACTACCTGCAAGTGCGTTGGCTCCCGTTGACTTTGGTAGACTTCGGTTTACTCGCTCGTTGACTCCCTTGTTCACTCTTCTTGACTCTTTCTAAGTTTGTTGAACCCATACACCAACCCCTACCACAGGCCACCCACTTAATCCGGCAGTATGAGCACACGGGCGTGTTTCCAGAGGAGGAGGTGGAGCGAGCGAAGTACAGAGGAGCGCCGGCAGGGGATGAGAAGTACAGCCTAACCTGGCAACCCCCCTCCAACCTCCCCCTCCCACCCCTCACCTTCTGCTTGCCCCGTCGTACTCATGCCGCGCCAAATGCTGCCTGCTGTTTCTTCCTGTTTTTCAACCCATTTATCCCCAACAGAAACCCACCACAGGCAGCCTATTTAATCCGGCAGTATGAGCGCACGGGGGTGTTTCCAGAGGAGGAGGTGGAGCGAGCAAAGCACAGGGGAGCGCCGGCAGGGGATGAGAAATCCGGAATCGCCTGGCAACCCCCTTCCAACCTCCCCCTCTCGTCCGCCTCCCACCTTCTGCTTGCCTGTTTCATTCACGCCGTGCCACCTGTGCCAAATGCTATCTGCCTCTCCGTCTGTCTTTCAATCCGTCCCGTTCATCTCTACCCCAACCGCAGGCCGCCTACCTGATTCGGCAGTATGAGCGCACGGGGGTGTATCCAGAGGAGGAGGTGGAGCGAGCGAAGCACAGAGGAGCGCCGGCAGGGGATGAGAAGTCCGGAATCGCCTGGCAACCCCCCTCCAACCTCCCCCTCTCCTCCCACCGAGGGGCCCTGCCTCGCCTCCCCATCATAGCCGTTACCGCAAACGCTCTTAAGGAGGATGAAGAGCGGTGCTATGCGGTGGGGATGGACGGGTTCCTGGGGAAACCGGTGCAGTTTCCGAAGCTGAAAGAGGCGATTTCTGAGTTTATAGAACTCCCCGGGTCACGATTGCTGCAAGGAGCCGGGAGTGGTATGAGTGGAGGAGTTGGGAGAGGGGGAATTGGGCAATCTAACCCCAATTCAGGGGCATCGGGAGGGTTAATATCCATGGGGAGCGGGGTAGCAGCGCTGCTAGCAGGGATCCCCCCACAGGCCGCCGGCGCCCCTGGGTTTCCCGCCCCGTCCAAGCTCTCGGGCGGCGTCCAGCGTCTCGTAGTGCCCGCCCGGCCGAGCAGCTACAGTGGCTCAGGGTCGGCGAGCGGCAGCATGACTTACACAGGGGATGAGGAGGATTATCAAGGAGAAGAGGGGGAATTCGATGATGAGTACGATGATGAGTATGATGATTACGAGTCGACTGTTTACTCGCCTAGATCCGCAGCGGTTCGACGCGGTGCCAGGACTCCTGGAGGGGCGAGCACGGCTAGAACCCCCGGGGGAGCGAGTATGGCTAGAACCCCGGGAACCACTAGAAGCTTCCGAACGTCGATGTTTTACGATGGGAGGGAGGATAGGAGCGTGTATGGGGGGACAGGGAGTGTGTATGGGGGTGCGGAGAGCGTGTATGGGGGCGCGGCTAGTAGCGTGGGTGGGTATAGTCGCGCCACAGGTGTTACTGGTGTTACCGGTGTTACAGGAATAACGGGAGTGACTGGTGTGACTGGGACGACGAAGGGTGGCAGGGGGAGGGGCATGTCTAGGGAGGAAGCAGCAGCAAGGGAATCGGCTATGAGGGAGGCGTATAACAGGTACTTTTTGAATGCGGGTCTGCCTCCCACCACGGCTGCTGCGGCCGCGGCAGCGGCAGTAGCTGCAGCAGCGACTGCTGCTGCTCGTGCTGGTAATGGTGGTGGTGGTGGTGGTGGGGGTGGGGGTGGGGGAGGAGGAGGTTTTCCCAGGAATAGGTCTGTTGCAGAGTCTTCGTATGTTTCTGGGAGGTCTTCTGGAGATGAGCTATCGATTTATTCGAAAACAACTGGAGGGACAGGGAGGGGAGGGAGGGGAGGCATGGGCATGGCAACAGGCACGAGCAGCACTGGGACAGGTTCGGAGAGTGGGACGGAGACTGGGACTGGCTCGGATCTCGGTTCGGAGACAGGTACGGGAACGACTGATTTTCATGCGCAGAGAGTGGTGACGTTGCGAGGGGGGACCGCGCCCCTGGGAGGGGGGATGGGAGGAGGTGGGGGCGTGGGAGGGATGGGAGGAGGAATGGGAGGGTTAAGAGGGACGGGAGGGGTGGGAGGGGCAGGATTCGGAGCAGGAGGGCTAGCAGGTGGAGCAGGGCTGGCAGGAGGAGCAGGGTTAGCAGGAGGGGGAGCAGCTGGGGGATTGTCAGGAGCAACTGCTGCTAATATAGCAGCACTGCGCTATCTTACTGCCCGCGCTGCAGGTAATACTGGGGTAGGTGGAACTGGGTTAAGTGGTTTAACAGGGGCTGGTAACCCTGCAGGGGCAGCTGGCACAGGGTATAATTTGGGCAATAGCCCGAACCTGTATAGGGGTACGGGTGCGGGAATGGGAGGGCCGGGGTCTATAGGGGGTAGTTCCCTGTCGTCTTTTTCTCATCCCCAAAGGAATTTGGCTCAAGGAGGGAGGCTTTTGGGAGGGAATTTGGCTTATAACGGAGGTGCTTATAATGCAGCGTTGGGTGGTGGGGCGGGTGTTGGGGGAGTGGGAGGGGGGTTGGGAGGGGCAGGAGGCCTGGGCGGAGGTTTGGCAGGAGGCTTGGGGGGAGGTATGGGAGGAAGTTTGGCAGGTGGTTTGGGAGGAGTGGGAGGAAGAGGTGGGCTGGGTGGACTTGGGGGTTCATCTTTCCAGCAGTTGCAGCAGCTACAGCAGCAGCTGCAACAGCAGCACCAGCAGCAACAGCAGCAGCAGCAACAGTTGTTGAGTAGCTATGGAGGTTTGGGAGGAGCAGGAGCAGGAGCCGGGTTGGCAGGAGGATTGGGAGGAGGTTTGGGAGCAGGGATGGGAGCAGGGATGGGAGCAGAGTTGGGAGGAGGGATGGGAGGAGGGACGGGAGGAGGAATGGGAGGAGCAGCAGGGTTTGGAGTGGGCAGCACGAGCAGCAGCAGCTTGCACCCTGGAGCAAGACAAGGGACACGACCAGGCGCAACACTCCCCCCCACTGCTGCAGCAGCTGCTGCTGCTGCTGTGGCTGCGGGTAGGAGGAGGCCTATCGCGAGTGCCACTGTAGCGGGGAATGGTGGTGCGTTTCTGAGGCAAAACGTGGGATCAGGTGGTAATGCTGCTGCTGGTGGTGCTGCTGCTGCTGCTGGCACTGGTGGTCGTGGTGGTGCTGCTGGTGCTGGTGGTTTGGATGTTAACGGTGGTGGCTTTGGTGGTATTGGTGGTGGAGGGGCGAATGGTCTTGGGGCAGGTGGAATCGGGGCAGGTGGATTAGGAGGAGGTGGGTTAGGAGGAGGTGGATTTTCCAGTCAGGCAGCAGGTGGGATGGCAGGAGGAGCACCAGGTGGGATTTCAGGTGGGAATCTGGTCCCTCCGCCTCCTGCAGGGGCCTCTCAGGCACAGCAGCTGCAGTACCTTATTCAGCAGCAGCAGATGCTATTGGCCCATACACACGCTCAGATACAAGCAAGGCAGCAGCAGCAGCAGCAGCTGCAGCAGCAACAGCAGTTGCAGCAGCAGCGGCAGCAGCTGCAGCAACAGCAGCAGCAATTGCTGGCAGCAGGAGGGTTGGGGAGGAACTTAGGGGGAGGTATGGCTGGTAGCACGGGGTTAAGTGCTGGTGGCGTGGGAGCGATGGGGTTAAGTGGTGGTGGTGTGGGGAATTTGGGGTTAAGTGCTGGAGGTTTGGGAGGTATGGGGTTAAGTGGTGGTGGTGCTGGTATGGGTGCTGGTGTAGGGGGGCTGGGAGGAGGTTTGATGAATCGAGGAGGGATGGGATTGGCAGGTATGGGAACCGCAGGTTTGGGAGCAACAGGCTTGGGAGCAGCAGGCTTAGGAGCAGCAGGTTTGGGAGCAGCAGGCTTGGGAGCTGCAGGCTTGGGAGCAGCAGGAATGGGAGCGAGAACTGGAGCACTGGGGGCAGGCGGGATGGCCAATGCTGGCTCTCTAGCAGCATTGGGGCTAGGAGGAGGAACAACGGGAGGGCAATTGCGGAGTGAATTTCAAGGAATGGGAGGGGTAGGGGACAGGGGAAGAGGAGAGATGGGAGGAGGAGCAGGAGCAGGGGCAGGAGGAGGAGGACGAGGAGGAGGAGGGGTGCGGGGCACTGTAGCAGCCCGGGTCGCCCCTCAGCGCCGCCCGGAGTTCCTGGCCGGTGCAGTTACCAGCGAGAGCAGGTTCGGCGAGGAGAGCTACAGTGAGAGCGAGAGCACGAACGCCCGGAGCCGCGGCAGGTTCGGCGGAGGTCCGGGAATGGGCCGCGAAGGCTCGGGGATCGGGCAGAGCATGATCGGGGGGAGCTCGAGGGAAGGTGGGGGGTCTGTTACTTCGTCTATGCTGAAAGGGAGTGTGGGGGCGGGACTGGGGGGGGTGAATCTGAGAGATGGGGGGTTTGTGAGTAGGTATGGGCAGAGCCCATATCCTAGAGCTGGGGCGAGTGGGGGTGGGGGTAAATGGAGCGAAAGTCATACCTCCCGAACCACTTCTTCAGCTAAGGGCAGGGATCTTGACAGGAGAGGTATGGGAGGAGGTATGGGAGGAGGGATGGGAGGAGGGATGGGAGGAGGGATGGGAGGGATGGGAGGAGGGATGGGGGGAATGGGAGGCGGCATGGGAGGAGGGGAAGAAGGGGATGGGAGGAGAGGGGGGTATCAAGGAGGGTCCCCTCCTAGGATGGCTGCAGGGCAAGCGGTTTCAGCAGCAGCAGCAGCCGCAGCAGCAGCGGCTGCAGCAGCAGCAGCATCACAGAGAGCACTGGCAGCCACCTCTGCCGGAGCTGCAGCCATGGCAGGCCGAGCCGAGATGGTTCGGGAAGAGGAACGGGCCGAGCGGCGCCGAACCAAAGCCGCAGCTTCGGCAGCAGGGTTAGAAGGTAGAGAGAGAGGCGGGGGCGGTGGAGGGGGGTATGGAGATGGGATGGGCATGGGGAGAGAGGGTGGAGGTATGAACGGTGCAGATCAGGCGTTTGGGCCACCGAGGGATCGAGAGTCGTTGATTGCGTCTAAGATGGAGCTTCAGGAGCGGGCTGTGCAGCGACGGTCCAGATTGCAGGCCCCGCAACGGACGGCTGAGATGGGCCAAGGTGGTGGTGGTGGTGGTGGCGCTCGAAACATGGGGTATTGGAACTAAGAATTGTGTTACAGTACTTTTTACTTTATAGTAAAGGAGATGGTATGCTCCTGATTGCCATCATGTACAGTATAGAGCAAAGAAATGTACAAGTCTGGCCATTATTTTGTTCAGTCAGTCAAAAGTTATCAGAAGTGTTGTGCACAAATACGAACTGTGAAAGGGAATTTCAGGGGTCCAATGTTTCACCAACAGTAGGGATATTGAAACTTTACAGGTGAACCGGACTAATTCATTATTGGGCCCCAACCCAGTTGAGGAATGTCAAGGGGTATAGATGAATCTGAGCCCTCAATTGTTGGATTTTGAGGCATCCAACGGTTGACGTTTGTCAACATTCCTCGGATTTTTGTCGAGGGATGTCAACTAAAACACCAAGTATGCACACTATGAGCGAAACCACTATGTAAACACTATGAACACGCGCTGGAAACTTTTGGAACCTACTGCACGTGTACAGTGTCGCAAGCGTGGAACACTATGCATTTTAACATGCAATTTGGTGCTGCCTTGTGCATGCCTCCTCCTACTGCTCCTCCGGTCAATCACACGATACCCTGTTACCTTCTCTTCATCACCATCCACCATCAGCACCATCAGCACCATCCTCATTGATTTTTTGCTGCCCCCCCTTGCACATACCCTAACCTTCCTCCTCTCCCTCCCCCTCCTCATCTCCCTCCTCATCTCCGTCCTCTCCCTCGCCCTCCCCCTCCCCCTCTTCCTCCTCACCCCCCTCCCCCTCTTCCTCCTCACCCCCCTCTCCCTCTCCCTCTTCCTCCTCCCCGTCTCCCACCTCCTCCCCCTCTCCTCCCTCACCCTCTTCATCCCCACCCTCCTCTCCCTCATACTCATCATTCTCCACCTCTTGAGCCTCCCCCATCCCATCATCACCTATTTGCTCCTCTATCTCCTCCTCTTCCTCCTCCATCCCCCCTTCCTCCTCTTCCTCCCCCTCATCTCCTTCATCCCTTCCCTCCTCGTCTCGCTCCCCACCCTCTTGCGCATTCCCCTCCTCTTCCTCCTCTTCTCCCTCCTCTTCTCCCTCCTCTCCCTCCTCTTCCTCCTCTTCCTCTTCTCCAATCACTCCTTCCTCATTCTCCTCTCCATCCCCTCTTTCCTCTCCTTCTAACCCCCCTTCCCCTCCCTCACCCTCATCCCCCTCCTCTTCCCCTTCGTTCTCTTCACCCTCATCTCCCTCCTCATCTCCCTCCTCATCCCCCTCCTCCACCTCCTCTGCTTCCTCTTCAACTTCAGTATCATCAATCATAGGAGTCGAGCCCTCAACACCCACCACTTCCTCTTCCTCTTCTTCTTCCTCCTCCTCCTCATCCTCCTCCTCTTCCCCTTCCTGTTCCTCACCCTCCCCTCCCTCCTCCTCCTCGTCCTCCTCTCCCCCTACCTCCTCCTCCTCCCCTTCCTGTCCTCCCTCCTCCTCCTCCTGCTCCTCCTCCTCTTCCTCTTCCTCCACCTCTTCTTCCTCCTCTTCCCCTCCCTCTCCCCCCTTCCCTCCCCCTCCATCCCTTTTCTCAACATCTATAGCCATCCCAACACCCTCTCCACCCTCCTCCTCCTCATTCTCCTCCCCATCCCCCTCCCCTCCCCCACGCATCCCTACGCCCCCACCAGCACCCCCACCCCCGTGCCCCGGTGCCTGTGCTGCGACCTTCACTGCACCACCAAGCCCCATGTTCGTTGCTGTTCCTGCTTCACCTCTCGACCCTCCCCCAGGTGATTGCAAGGCAAGTAACCGAACCTCCTGGGGAGCAAGGAGAGACGGGGTTGGGAGGAAGAGGGGACAGGCTGAGACTGAAGCGTGAAAAGACCAGAGCGGCAGAGAGCAAGAGGAGAGTACCCCCCACCCTCATGCCCCTGTGCCTGTGCTGCGAGCTTCACTGCACCACCAAGCCCCATACTCGTTGCTGCTCCACTTGCTTCCCCTCTTGACCCTCCCCCAGGCGATTGCAAGGCAAGTAGCCGAACCTCCTGAAGAAACAGGGAGTAGATTAAGAGAAAGTGGGGAAACGGTAAGACAGTTGGAGTGGGATAGAGCAGGGGGAGAGGTTTCTTTGCTGCTCCTGCCTCGGCCATCGGCCCTCCCCCAGGTGAATGCAAACCAAGCAGCCGAACCTCCTGAAGAAACAGGGAGGGATGGGTTTAAAGAGAGAGAGGGGGTGACAAGACGTTTAAGTGTGATAAGATATAGAGTGGGATAGAGCAAAAGGCAACAGTACTTCGTATTTTTGAGTCGACTCAAAAACAGGTTAAAGAGAGAGAGGGGATGGCAATACACTTAAAGTGTGATAAGGTTAGAGTGGGATAGAGCAGAAAGCAATGCTTCTTTGCTGGCCTTGTCTCCCGCTTGTTGCCGCTCCCCCTTCTGCCCCCCATGGGACTGCAAGGCAAGTAGTCGAAAACTCATGAAGGACAAGGGTGAAAGAAGATGCATGAAGGAAGGAGGATCCTCACAAAAACCGAGGAAGAAAAAAAAGGTGAAGGAGAATTCGTGAAGTCGTTTTCTCACCGGAATGTACTTCGGTTTTCGACGAATGGCGAGGCAGTTTGCATCTGAATCGACGGTTGTGATCGACCGGAAAAAGGGGAGCACAAAAATGGGGATGGCGGAAATGGGGATGGCGCAAAAAGGTGAGGGGGACAAACAAGAACGGCAGCAGCGAAGCGACGGCGGTGGCGGTGGCAGCGAGTTGACTTTTGAGTCGACTCAAAAGTCAACAAGGTGAGGGGGGACAAACAAGATCTGCGGTGGCGGTGGCGGTGGCGGTGGCGGCGACGGCGGGTAATAGGGGTTGCAGCGTCTACCGCAGGACCAGCAGGCGGCGGGTGGCTGCAGCACTAGCAGGGCGAGGGCGAGGGCGAGGGCGCATAACTGTTGGCTTTTGAGGCGCCTCAAAGGGCGCATAACTGTTGGCTTTTGAGGCACCTCAAAGGGCGCATACCTGTTGGGCGGGGGGGCTGCGGCGTCCATCTGAGCACCAGCAGGCGGCGGGTGGGCCCCACGGCGGTCCACTGCTTCCGCCATCGGCGCACGCTCCCGCTGAACGCCACCGCCGCGCCGTGACGCGCGGAGGAGCGGTTGCGCGTGCCTGCTGCCTCCATCGCGAGGCGTGTTGTCTGGTCTGTAACCGGGTAACCCTCTCTCCGTGCGGCAAATTCGCGAGGCCTAGTGATTCGGGACTGTTATTTAGTGGCGGCAGGAGTTCGTTTTTTAGCAAGTCCTGTCTTATCTGGCTGCTGTCGCCCTAGAGCGCGATAAATGATTCCGCATGCCTGCTGCTTCAATGAATTCTACATTCAATATGTCACTGGATGTTAATGTCAATAAATGCCAACGGGAGTTTAAGGTCAATCAAGGAACTGACCAGGCGCGCGTTCACTATGGCAATGGAATCTATTTCAGTCAGAAAAAGTCAGTCAGAAAAAAACAGTCAGAAAAAGTGACAGTAAAAAATAGTCACGGAGACTTAGGACAACTGAAATAAGCCTTCAGCGATTAGCAAGCGCGGAGCCTCTTCAGGAACGGGCGACTCGTAAACGTGCTGCGAGACTCCTAGACGCAAGGCACCAGTCACAGAGGTCCGAGGCAAAAGGGGCTCTTAGTCCGTAAATCCTGGAAACCCTAAAAGTTGCACCTGCCTGACCGGTGTCGGTGTTATGCTTTCGCGAAACGGGGAGTTACCATTTAAAAACTCAAATTCGTTCATACCGAGCTCCAATCAGAAAGGGATCTGGCGTGTTGTTTCTGAGGTCTGACGACAACTGAACTTTCGTCACCGACAGACGAACAGTTTCACATACATTTAACAGTGGCCCTGATCGGTAGCCCTAACTCCGAGTAAGCTTTGGTCACGTTGGCATGCTCGGGGGGGTACACCGACTCACACGTGCGTGCACGTGTCGGTGGGTGCTTCCCATCTCCGAGTGTTACTTTCCCAACTCCGGTTAGTGATCGGCTCGCCCCCGTTACTCCGAGTTAGGAAGTTGCGAGGGTGGGGGGTGCGATTTCATGTGTCTCACTGTAGCGTTCAGCCCAGACTGCCCCATACGCCACCAAACAAATAAATATTTCAGCGCTGGGAATACCGTGGCCCAAAAATCTCATCTTCAAACACCACTTGTTCAAACACCTCCAACTCAATTCTTTCTTAGGCCCTGCTCCACGTCGTGCCCCCTAATACTGTGATCGTCACTACGAAATGGCAAATAGTAATTACGATATGTTAGACATCCTGTCCAAAAAACGCCAAAAAATAGACGCAATTCGACATGAGATAGTGGGAGGCTTGTTGGTAGACACTATTCTCCGGGGAAGAAAGACTCTACTGATACTTGGCGCCTTGCTGGCCACCAAAAACCACATAAAACATCATAAGAATACTTCTAGCTTACGTGGACCCTCTTACGCCCTAGAGCTCCTAAACGGTCACCAGGATAGAATGCATGGCACCCTTCGCATCGAGCCACACCTGTACATCAGGCTCCTTAAAGTCTTGATGGATCGAGGCCTATTATCGCATGGTCGCGATGTGACCGCTCATGAGCACCTAATGATCTATCTGAATCTCTTGGGACAAGTGGCGTCAAACCGAGCCCTGCAAGAACGCTGGCAACGGTCATGTGACACGATAAGCGTCGCTGTCCATCGTGTTGCTAGGGCGATTTGCGCGCTGCAGTCTGACTACATTCAATTGCCACAAGAAGCTGACAACCAGTACTTGAATAGTCGTCGGCAGTTCGCGCATTTTCGTGGAGCCATCGGCGCAATCGACGGCACGCTCATTCCTGCCGTCATTCCCAAGGATCAGCAGCAGCCCTTCTTTGACAGGCATGGTAACACAACCCAAAACGTCCTGGCTATAGTATCTTTCAAGGATCTGTTCATTTACGCTCTTGTTGGATGGGAAGGTTCGACGCATGACTCTACTGTCCTTGGGGACGCTGTCACTCGAGGCTTGTCCCTCCCTCATGGCACGTACCTCCTTGCTGACTCGGGTTACCGCAATGACGCACTAACCCTCTCTCCATACCGCTCTGTTATATATCATCTTGAGCGGTGGCAGCGCACGGGCCATGTGCCGCAGGGTAAAGAAGAATTGTTTAATCGTGTTCATTCCTCACTACGCTCGCATGTTGAGTGTGCTTTTGGACAAGTAAAGGCCAGGTTCCCTATTTTGAGAAGCATGCCATCATACAATTTAAAAATGCAAAAAAAGATTGTTCGCTCCTGCTTCATTCTGCATAACTTTATTAAGCTAGGTGGAGGGGCTGATTTCACCCCTGGAGCTGAAGATTTGAGCGCACCATTGCTTGGACAAGATGGGTTAGAGGACGGGGATAATATGTTACCGAGCCAGATTTCATCTCGCATTGGAGACGCACGGAGGGAATCCATTGCCTCCTCATTATGGGCTGCTTGGGCAGCGAGCGTGCATTGAACATGTTTCACAGTTAGTTGAAACTTGATGTAGCATCCTGCACCTTCTTCCATTTGACATTGGGTCAGTCTCTCAACCGACAGCCCTTCATGCTAGGTTTCTGCTCAAGTTCTCCACAGAGTAAACAATTAACGTGTCTGGCAGGCCAAATCACTTCATGTAGCTGGAGGTAATGCCGAATACCTGATGCTTTACGTATTCCAACCTGAAATATGAAGGGGGTTATGCATATGTGTGTTTATGGAGAATAATACAGCAGCAGAAGGAGAGGTTTAAGCAAACGGATTGTGAATTTTGAGGCGTTGCACATTGAAAAGTTCCAACCATACAGTATCCATTACATGACGACCCTTACGTGCAGTCCAAAGCATGTGGAAGGCTAGACTATACCAACAACGATGGAATGCATAATACATAGGCTCAACAGAGGGTTTTGTACTGAAACAGTAAACAACTGAGGATAGGGAACTAGACACACCTCACAACGCGGTCCCGCTGGAGTCGCCACCAGAACCGTCCCTCATTTGGGTATGGGTTGAAGCCGGGGTGAAGCTGCCACCAGCACGTGCATAACCTTGATTTTCTGGTGCATATACGCCGCCACTTGGCCCGGCCGTCATGCCACCGCTAGGTGCAGACGAAGTGAAAATCGGAGGTGCAGAGACTGCATGTGTGGTGGACTCCGGAGCGGGATGAAGTGTTGGGACATGAGCCCGCGGTGCACCTCCAGGTGCCCATATCCCTCCAAGGGGTGCTGAGAAAGCACCTGCAGTTGAGTTGGGCCAAGGTAGTGTGCCATCACCGATTGTCGCAGCGACCTCAACTGCGGTATGGGACATTGCGCCGCCCAAAGTGTATCTGCCAGTGGTGGCAGAGTAGCTGCCACCTTGAGCGGGCCTGCCGCCGCCAAATGCCCCTGACCCTGCACCAACAGAATGCACACTGTATGGGGTTGCACGGGCACCTCTGGCAAGGGTAGATCCAGCACGCCTAGCCCGTGGTAGGGATCCGCGTGCAGCTGGGCGGCCACGAGCAAATGGGTTACCACCACTGGAGGGAGAATTGGCGGGACCATTACTACTCATGGCGGCACCAGCAGAGGAAATACCTCCCGTGGCGGGACCAGCAGAGGCATTCACTCCAATGGTGGGACCAGCAGAGGCAATACCTCCCATGGCGGCACAAGCAGAGACAGTACCACCAATGGCGGGACCAGGGGTGGCATTACCTCCCATGGGGGGACCAGTAGAGGCATCACCTCCCATGGCGGCATGAGCAGAGGCATTCCCAGCAATATTAGCATGAGCAAAGGCATTACCACCAATGGTGCCATGAGCAGAGGCATTACCAGCCGAGGCGTGACCAGCAGAGGCACTACCTCCCATGGCGGGACTAGCAGAGGCATTACCAACCATGTCGGCATGAGCAGAGGCATTACCACCCATAGCCGGACCAGCAGAGGCATCACCAGCAATGGTTGCATGAGCGCCGTCATTACCAGCAATGGTGCCATGAGCAGAGGCATCACCAGCCATGGAGGGACCAGCAGAGGCAATACCTCCCATCGCGGGACCAGCATAGGCGCTACCACCAATGGCAGGACCAGCAGAGGCATCACCACCCATAGCGGTATGAGGAGAGGCATTACCACCCGTGGCAGGACCAGCAGAGGCATCACCAGCCATAGTGGTATGAGCAGAGGCATTACCACCCATGGCGGGACCGGCAGAGGAGGCACGACGTGTGGCGGAACCAGCACCCATGGAGGGACCACCACCCAAGGAGTCATCAGCACCAACAGATGCATTACCAACCATGGAGGGGTCTGGGGTGCCACCAGCATTATCAGTGCATGCGGCGGCTGCATAGGTGAAGCCGGCAGGCGCTGAGGTCCACACACGCTCATAAGAGTTGAAGCCGGGAGCAGCCGATGCGTCGGCTGCCGGAGCAAAGGTGTGGCCGGCAGGAGCTGATGCGCCGGCGGCCGGAGCAAAAGTGTGGCCGGGAGGAGCCGATGCGCCGGCGGCCGGAGCAAAGGTGTGGCCGGGAGGAGCCGATGCGCCGGCGGCCGGAGCAAAGGTGTGGCCGGGAGGAGCCGATGCGCCGGCGGCCGGAGCAAAGGTGTAGCCGGGAGGAGCCGATGCGCCGGCGGCCAGAGCAAAGGTGTAGCCGGGAGGAGCCGATGCGCCGGCGGCCGGAGCAAAGGTGTAGCCGGGAGGAGCCGATGCGCCGGCGGCCGGAGCAAAGGTGTAGCCGGCGGGAGCAAACGTGGCGCCACCAGCGGGTTCCGCACCGACGTACTTGGCGCGGAGCCCGGGGGGCATTGCAAGGAAAATAGACGCCATGACGGGGGTGCGTGCGAAGTCCTTGAACGTAGCGATTTTCTGATCGTCCGATGCTTGGGGCATGGAGACTAGAAGATTGGAGGCTTCAGTCACCACTTTGTGCTGTTCATCTGTGGAGGGGGTGATGCACGAATTGGAGGATAAGTAAGACATCATGGAGTGCATGGTGACGTTGAAATTTGCTGACAGACAACGCAACACAACCGTATGGTTTGCAGGTTCGGAAATACCTTGAATGAGAACCGGGATGGGTTTGACGACATTCTCGGTGAGAATGTCAAGGCAGCGAGCGATGTTGTCGGAGTTACCGCGCCTGCGCTTGTAGCCGCTAGCACTGATAGGGCTGCCCATAGAGCATCCTTGAGCGTTGGGTTGGCTCCCGGAGCCATCCAGCCTGCCATGGCCGGAAAAGGCACGCCCGTGGGTTGTGTCATTGGCGGGTGTAGATTCGTTCGCTGCCGGAGCAGCGGCAGGGTCTGTGGCGTTGCTTCGTGCCCCCACGTTCGTGGCACGCGTGGCAGCGGGTGAGACCGACGGGGCGCCTGGAGCGCCCTCGTTCTGCGCCGACGTGTCCTCCGTATCCTCCCCCATACCGTCGGAGGCTTGCCTGCCCCTCTCACCGTTCTGGGACTCCAACTGTTGAGCAAGTTCTAACCACGGGGCGGTATTGCTGCACCAACGTTTGAGGTCGTCCCACCGAGGTGCACGCATAAGCTGGCGCAGAGTCTGGGGGGGATGGGGGGACACGCTGGTTGATGTTTGTTCGCGCAATTGCCATGGCATCCGAGGCACGCCGATGGTGGGCTAGTATCTAGAGCGCGCTGAAGAGGCGTTGCAGGAACGGGCAAGGAATGGGGCGGGCAAGGGTGACAAGAACGGGAGGGGTGCTACAGAGGCAGCATGAGGGGGGAAACGAGTGGCATTGAGGACGGAGAGGTGGGGAGAGGGTGGTTGGAGGAGCAATGCAGAACAGAAGCGCCAGGACAGAGGCATGAAAGCTCGGTGTGGGCGGGCAACACAATCAGGCAGGGCAGCAGTTGATGGAATGGAGGACAAATGGGCCGGTGAGTGGCAGCAGTGGTGAACTCTCTGTGGAAAGAAAAGGGGACTAGAGAAGAGAGGAGGGGTTGGATTAGATAAAAAGACATGCACCTGTGGCGGAGGGTTGAAAAACTCTCTCTGCGGCACCCAGTGGACTCCGGTTTTAATCCACCCTTGGAGATACTTGATGTCACGCACCCACTCCCGGATTCCCTTCAAATGAACCCTCAGTTGATTCTCAGTCCGAGGATGACGTGGGTGCAGAGCGGCCCATGCCTGAGTAATCTGCGCCCACCCTTGCACAACGCCATCATAAGCCATGGCTCCTCCTGGCTGTGCGTCTAAAACAACACGCAGAAAGTCTGTGGTCTGCTCATCAGTCCACTTGCATCTGTTCCTAGTTGCGGTGCCCCTTGAGGTGCCACCGCTTTCACTTTCCGCAAGGCGGCTTGTGGCCGCACGAGGGATGCCATGCGGATTCTGGCCAGTTGGTGTCGGGTGCGGTGCTGTAGGGGTGACTAGGGATGGGTTTTGCCTTCCTTGAGGGATGCCTCGCGAGCTGCCACCAGCAGATGCCTGCGAAGACAACTCCTGAAGCTGGTGAAGAAGATCGTCGTTGAGCATTTCGAATGGTTATCTGTGAGCATAAACCGTGTGGGAGCAGCCCGGAGCCCAAGAGGAGGCACAGAGGGAGCGAGAGGTGGACGAGACCCAATCACCACAAGTGGGCGGGTTATAGTGGTATGGGGTGGAGATAGACATGGCATCAAGGCGATGCCACACATGGACAGAGGGAATGGTACAAATCCCATGGAAAATGATGGCAGGGGCAACACGAGGATAAATCGAGGTGGAGCATGTACCATAAACCGATGGTTCCTTTAAGGCACAACGGTACCAAGGCAAGAAGGCACGGTGGCACAAATCCACAGCGGCAAAGACGCACATGCACAGATTTTGCATTGCATAGCGGAAGCAAAGGCTTAATGGTACGACAAAAAGGGTGTAATGCAAAGGTATGACGTGTCGCATCGCACAGAGGCAAATGGGCAGACAGAGACGCAATGCACCGAGGCATTGGTACAGGAATGGCACATCAGAGTGGCAAAAAATAACACGCGGAATAAACATGCAGTCGAGACGCAAAGAAAAACTAGCCCATGGATGACCATAACCGGAAATCCAGGCTACAGATCGTCCCAGACCCACGACTCACCGCTAGCAAAGAGATGGCGTGTCAGCTGAGTATCTCCGGGGAGGAAGGAGCAGACAGCGTGAAGGGCGGCAGCAGTACGCAGAGCGGTATGGGTGAGGGACGGTATCCAGAGGCTCCGGAATGGGTAAGCGCGGCCGAGCGGGAGAGGGGGGGGGGGGGGGGGGGGGGGAGGTGGGAACGTGGAAAGGGGAAAATATGAACGGCACGGGCGGGTAAAAAGAGAATGCGAGGAACGTGAGTAATTGGCACGTGGCGGAAGGACTACCTAGATTACTATTGCGACAAAATAATTGTGGCTGTGACGCTATGTCGTGTCACTAAGTGTTGCGCAGAGCGCGGACCCCATAGTGGCTGCTTTCTTTACATCGGCACATTTGAGGACACGATGACGGTGGTTAAGATGGCGAGAGTATATGCGTTATTTTACCGTCAGCATAGTGCTACATAGTACCGCGTTGTACCGTCCTGGTCATGCCATTCTCAGGCGCAATAGTAAATACTTGAACCTTAGCAGCATTTGTACCTTATTTACGGTCCTGGAACCAATGAGCAGGGCTATGGCGAGTTGGTTGGACACTATTCTGCTCTCGACGAGGCTTTCGGCAGATTGTCACTCAAATTTTCAGATTACTATCTGCAGTGGCGCTACGAAATCTCATATGACGAGACGTGGGCAACCTGGGTCGACGAACGTGTGTCGGTGCGTGTCGAGAGAGCGTGGTAAAATGGAAGTGCTAATCTGACGAGATGGTTTCGGGAGCGTTCTTGCTCGGGGTAGAGTTCTTGGAGTGGTTGCGTAGGAGGGGGGGGTTGGGGAGGGGGGGGGAAGGGTTAGTTTTGACCGTGTACTTCGAGGTATTCCCGGCAAAAAAAAATCCAATCGGGATCCCGATTGGGTTTACCCCTTGAAGTCTAACTCCGAGTAAGCCAGGAGTCCTCCGCCAAAATCGTGGAGTTGTGGGAGGCCTAACTCAGAGTAAACTTTGCCCGTGTTGGAAGCATTCAGGAGGGTTCGGTGGAGTCGTACTCTGAGTAATGCTAACTCCGATCGTTTGCCCATTTTTGCTAACTCCGAGTAAGCCACGTCGGTGTGACTATATGAGACACACGTGCCAAGGGGGAGTTAGTGAACCCCCACGAAGCCCACCAACTCGGAGTAAGAGGGCTACCGATCAGGGCCAGTATGTCGCCCAGGGTTTGAAGTAGCCCTCGGGGTGTTGTGACGAAACCTCACTCACATGTCTCGTGCAGAACAATTGGACGGATCGATGAGAAAGTTCCGAATTTTTGCGCAATCCGCCCTTTGTATTCGTGCGACACTGTTTTTTTCGTCAATAATCTAGGGCTGTAACATGTTCGTATGGCCTTCGCCAGTCGTCAACTTCTGTTGCGAAAACCCCTTGTCCGCATATGGCATTATTCTACCCCACAGCAGTTGGAACTTGGACTGGCCCCTACAGCAATTGTGTCGTGATGATCGTGGAATTGTTTCTGATCCTGTGAAAGCTTCGTGCCTGGCCTCACAGCGAAATAGCTACTGTTTGATGAGATCGATGTGCGGTTTCTAACTGAGAATACTCTCGGGCTAAAATTTCCGAGTCGTAGGAGGTAACGTGCAACGCCTGTCGGCTAGTAGCTTGAGCCATGGCTCCGCGTAACACGGCGGGGCATGAGCCACTTCCCTTAGCGAATCTGCCGAATTTTGCGGCGATCTGGAACGAGGGCACGGAGAACGTGGAGCGGTGGGGAAAGAAAATCCTAGATTGGAATGTTACGGAGCGATTCGGTAAAGACTCTCTAGATCGGAATGTTGCGGAGCAATGGGGAAAAGCGCGGAGCAAAGGGACTATGAATGAGATCGTGGAAGGTTGGGGAAAGGGGCACCAAGATCGGATCCGAAGCTTCGTTCCCCCTTCTAGAACTGCGGAGGAGCGTAGCGGCAAACGGGCGGAGGGCGGAAGAATGGCGGAAGGCGGAAGGTATGCGGCAGCGCTAGAGGCCACATCTGGGGACGGTGGCATCGTAACGCATATAGCGCCCGCAGCAGCAGGGCGCGTCGGAGTGATACGAGCTTCTTTTTCATCGCGTCTTCCGTTAGCGCGTATAGAACCCCCTCCCGCTGTAGTAGCTACTTCGAGAACTGAAGAACTTACGAAGAGCGACTCCCCGGACCGCGAATGGCGGAATGGCGGTGCGGCTGACGTGGACGGAGCTGGAAGCAGCGGCATGGCTGGGCGAGGAACCGGCGACGCCGACTCTAGTGCCGCGCCACCCTGGCAGATGCCGCTGAGGGAAGCTTCGAGGAAGGTGGCGGAGCTCGGGCGAGCAGTGAAGGGTCTATGGAAGGGGAGGAAAGATGACGTCAGAGGCGCTGGAACGGGAACAGCAGCAGATGGTGCTGGCGCGGGCAAGCAGAGCAGCAGCCTAGCCTCTCTTGCGCAGGTGAGCGGGTATGCATACCTACCTGTATTTTCTGACCGTTCCCTTCCTTGCCACTCCGTCCAAGCAGCAGCCTAGCATCACTTTCGCAGGCGAGTGGAGTGGGTGGCTCTGGCACTAGGTGACTTTTGAGTTTTGAGGATTCTCAAAACGTGCTGGTGCGGGCAACCCAAGCAGCAGCCTACCGTCTCTTTCGCAGGTGCGTGGGTGGCACTAGGTGACTTTTGAGTCGACTCAAAAGCCTAAACCCTCTTTCTTGCGCAGGGTGAGTGAGACTAGCTGGCAGCAGCAGCAGCCCTAGCCAGCGGCAAGCGAGCCACTCTTATCCAGTTTCACGCCCGCCGCTGCCGCCACTGCCGCCTCTGCTGTATGTTCCCCCCAACCCCCCTTTTTCCCACCAGCGGGCTGATACAGAGGAGAGGCAGCTAGCAGCAGCCCTAGCCAGCGGCAAGCGTGCCACTCTTATCCAGTTTCACGCCCGCTGCGGCCGCCTCTGCCGGTACTTGAGTGTATAGTGTCTCGCTCTGTCTGGTTTATCTGTTCTCCTCCCCTACTTCTGCCAGTGGCGTGACGCGGAGGAGAGGCATCCGGCAGCAGCGCTAGCTAGCGGCGAACGAGCCACGCTCATCCAGTTTCACGCCCGCCACTGCCGCTCTGCCGGTCGCTCAGTCAGCTCTCTTCCTCCCTCTGTTCTTCCCTATTCCTGCCCCACTTCCCGCCCCCCTCCACCAGTGGCCGGACGCGGAGGAGAGGCATCCGGCAGCAGCGCTAGCCAGCAGCAAACGAGCCACGCTCATCCAGTTCTACGCGCGCCACTGCCACCTCTGCTGTATAGCTGCTACTTGTATTCTCTCTCCCTGCCCGTTCCCTCCCTGCCAGTTCCCTGACACGGAGGAGAGGCAGCTAGCAGCAGTCCTGGCCAGCAAGGCAGCCACGCTTATTCAGTTCAGTTCTACGCCCGCCTTTGCTGTAATGCTAACTGCATTTTCTCTCTCTGTCCATCCAGCGGATTCCCCCGCCAGTTCCCTGACGCGGAGGAGAGACAGCTAGCAGCAGCCCTGGTCAGCGGCAAGCGAGCCACTCTCATTCAGTTCTACGCCCGTCGCTGCCACCTCTGCTGGATGGCTAATTGTATTCTCTCTCTGTCCGTTTCCCCCGGATCCCCCCGGTAGTTCCCTGACGCAGAGGAGAGGCAGCTGGCAGCAGCCCTGGCCAGCAAGGGAGCCACACTTGTTCAGTTCCACGCCCGCCGTTGTCGCCTCTGCCGGTCGCTCAGCGTTTTCTATCTCTGTGTTGCTTCTAACTGTTTCCCTCCACGCCACCCACCAGATCCCTGACGCGGAGGAGAGGCAGCTGGCAGCAGCCCTGGCCAGCGGCAAGCAAGCCACATTCATCCAGTTCTACGCTCGCCGCTGCTGCCTCTGCCGGTCCCTGACTGCCCTCTCTGTGTTTTCATCCCCGACCAACCCCCTTTCCCTCCTCACCAGTTCCCTGACTCGGAGGAGAGGCAGTTAGCAGCAGCTCTAGCCAGCGGCAAACGAGCTACCCTTATCCAGTTTTACGCCCGCCGCTGCCGCCTCTGCCGGTCGCTCAGCCAGCTCACCGCTGAGCTGGCGCGACGCAACGCTGACTGGCTCAACGTGGTGCCTGCTGACGTGGAGAACAGCCGATGGTTGCCTGAGGTAAGGGGATTTAGGGGTTTGAAGGGTTGAATGTGGTTGGGTCGAAGAGATTTAGAGAGTCTAGATTCCATGAGATGTGTATGGAGGGTTTGGAGTATGGATGGAAGAACCTTTTGCCTTCTATCTCTACTAGTGGTTTTTCTATTCTTGGTAAATTGGTTAACACCCCCTTCTCTGTACTGCTTTGCGCTGATCAGGTGGGGCACTACAGCATCAAGTATGTGCCGTTCTACGTGCTGCTAGACGCACGGGGGAGAGCCTTTTCCACAGGCTTCAATTGTGTTCCATCCCCTGTATAAACCTCCCCTTTTGCACCCACAGGTGGGGCACTACAGCATCAAGTATGTGCCGTTCTACGTGCTGCTAGACGCACGGGGGAGAGCCTTTTCCACAGGTTTCAATTGTGTTCCATCCCCTGTATAAACCTCCCCTTTTGCACCCACAGTGGGGCACTACAGCATCAAGTATGTGTCGTGCTACGTGCTGCTGGATGCGCTAGGGAGAGCCTCTCATGCCTTTTTTCCTTTATGAATTATCACACTATAACCCTTTCTGTTCACAGGTGGGGCACTAGAGCATCAAGTGCGTGCCGTGCTACGTGCTGCTGGACGCGCGAGGGAGAGCCTTCTGTACAATCGTCATTTTCCTTCCATCCCCTTTATGATCTGCCCCCTTTGCACTCATAGGTGGGGCACTACAGCATCAAGTACGTGCCGTGCTACGTGCTACTGGATGGGCGGGGGAGGGCCCTGGCGAAGACTGGCGAGCCATACAGCCGCAAGCATGTGGTGAAGGGTCTGGCTTACCTGGTGGAGAGCATTCGGCCCTACCGGCGGCGCCCTGCTGTTGGAGAGGGGGGTGACGGAAAGGAGAAGCAGCAGGAGGAGCAGGGGCAGGAGCAGCAGCAGGAGCAGCAGCAGAAGCAGTAGTGGTAGTAGTAGCAAGCAGCAGCAGCAGCAGCAGTAGCAGCAGCAGCAGCAGCAGCAGCAGCGGCGGCGGCGGCGGCGGCGGCGGCGGCGGCGGCAGCAGCAGCGGCAGCAGCAGCAGCAGAGGCGAAGACAGGCGAGCCGTACAGCCGCAAGCACGTGGTGAAGGGGCTGGCTTCCCTGGTGGAGAGCATTTGGCCGTACCGGCGGCGCCCTTCAGAGGGATAGCAGGGAAACAGTAAGGACCAGCTGCAGCAGCAGGAGGAGAAGCAGGAGCAGGAGCAACGGCAGCAGCAGCAGTAGTAGGAGGAACAGGAACGCAGTAGTGGTAGCAGCAGCAACAGCACCCGCAGCAGCAGCAGCAGGAGCAGCAGAGGCTGAGACAGGCGAGCCATACAGCCGCAAGCACGTGTTGAAGCAGGAGAAGCAGGAGAAGCAGGAACAGTAGCAGGAGGAGAAGCAGCAGCAGCAGCAGCAGCAGGGGCAAGAGCAGCGGCAGCAGCAGCAGCAGCAGCATTTGTAGTGGTACCAGGCACGTGGTGAAGGGTCTGGCTTACCTGGTGAAGAGCTCCTGTGGAATTGATGTTGCTACTGAAATAGGTTATCTGTAATGTGAATGCAATGCTTAGTTGCTGCTAGGTACTTTCTATTCCTCTAACATGTAGCTTGTGCTGGCATCAAATGTAAAAGCAGATTGAACCATGGGAAGAGAGCAGACAGAGTTACGGTATGTCAGCTGAGAAAATTCGCATTCTTCTTACGATTATTCTTTTTTGTTATAACGAGGGAGTACAAGACAAGCAATTGTTAATAACCTAGCGATAGTGAGCCCTAATCGCTTCCAACCTAAATACATACCATACCACCACACCTCTGGCTCCTCACCTTCCTCCACCATACCCTTCCCTCGTGGCTTCGTCTCGCCTTCCTTGCACCTTTCTCTCTCGTGCTCTCTCCCGCCGTCCTCTACGCTTTAGGCCCCGTTCGGCAGGCATTATGGCCATTATGGGCCCTGTTCGGCTGGCGCTAAAAAGGCATTTATATCAGGCTCGGGGACTGGCTACAGTGAAACGATAAGCGAGCTGTTGGTTATCAAGGTTCGATATAGGCGGATTTATGTCGAACCTGAGAGCATATAAAATGCCTGCCGAACAGCCTTTTTAACACCTGCGTTTTTCGCCATACGATGATTCCAGGAAACCGGTTCCCCTGGCAGAGTGGCGCACCACTGATCCGCTGCATGGTGCTCAGACGAGAGCTTACATCGTGCGGGGAATAAGTGATGCGGCCAATGATATGCGACTGGTCGAACATGCTGGCCAATCAGATGATTGTTCGAAGGTGCCATTTGTCTTCGACCTGACTTCCTCGAACTTTACACCCCTTATGCGCCATCACGTTGAGCCCCCAGAATGCCAGCCGAACAGGGCAACCCTTTTTTCCGAAGGTGCTCTGCATGCGGCGCCCGACTTCGAGGATTTTTCGAGCTGGCGTTTTTTCGAGGCTGGTTAAATATGCTCTAACGCCCATAACGCCAGCCGAACTGGGCCATGGCCATTATGGACATTTTTAACGGGCCCCCAAAAAATGCCGCTTGGGCATTTTCTGGAAACAGCTTCGAAATCGGACAGTAGCTGGGGTGCACCTTCAAAAATAGGGTTGACTGTCCGGTTGGCATTAATTGGGTGTAGATTGATGGCATCAATCGAAATTTTGGTTTCGCGGAATATGATAGGCAGTCTCTCAGATGGATCGCGTGATCATGTGATTGGCTAAGATATTTGACCAGACACTGTTTATTGCCCGGAATTTTTGATACCCTGCATGGTGCGGGGCCTCGAGGCCGCATGGTGCGGCGGATTAAAAAAAATGGGCACTTTGCCAGACAAACTGGGTTCGTGGAAGCTTCAGGCGGGTGAAAACGCCTGCACAAAAAGGGCTGTTTGGGAGGCATTCCATTATTGTCAGGTTCGCGTAGATCCGCTTATATCGAGCCTTGATAATCGTTCACGCGCTTATCAAAGAAGGTTCCAGGGTGGTCGTTTCACTGTAGCCCATCCGCCGAGGCCATTTTTTTAATGCCTGCCGAGCTGGGCCTTACTCTCGTTCTGTCTCATCGCCTCATCCCAAAAATGGGTTAGGGTGTGCAGTATGTTTGGGAAAGTTTGACAAAGTTTGAAGAAAGAAAGAGGATTGAACTAGCAGAAATGGGGATACAAATAGCAAACCCTAGAAGGGTTGTACTCGCTATAGAGCACCCCACTACAGGCTAGAACAATGAGATAATATTCTGACACACCCCCATAGCCAAAGTGGGGTGTAATCAGCAGAGCAGGCAAAGCAGTACAAGCTCAGGGTGGATCACAATGTCACCACACATTCTGAGCACAAGTTCAAGAAGAGATAGTTTAGAGTTCACAATTATGAGCAGAGCTAGTGGTAGTCACAATGGGCAAGTGAGGAGGAGGAGAGAGAGTGAGGGGAGAGGAGATAGGAGGCGACGGCTGAAGCTGCAGGCACACGGGCAACAGGAGGCACACTGGCACAGCGGCTACCAGAACAGCGCTCCGGACTACTGGAGTAACTGGCCCCGCGGCTCAAGTAGCGGCAGACGGGCAACGGACCCACGGGCGGCTGGCACAGCTGGCTACGACTGGGCTACCGGGACAGCGCCCCGGACTACAGGTGCTGCGAACGACAAACTGACAACCTCCACTCAACCTCCCGCACACAGTCCCACCCCCCTGATGCACACCCATTGCTACACCGCTAGCTGCACTCCCACGCACCCCCCTTAAACCCTAAACCCGAGTCTCCCACACGACCACCCCCCTCAGCGACAGCTGCAGCAGTGGGAGACGAAGGAGGAGGAGAGTACACCGGCCACCCCCATACCCGCCACCCCACAGCTCGCCCCTCAGGTCGCCTCGACGGACGACGGGAAATGGCAGGGGGAGGGGGGGGGGGGGGGGGGCGGTGTGGTGAAAGGGGCCCACCACGGGCCTGGTTGGAGGGCGGGGCCGCGATAAGGGGCGGGGCCGCGACGAGGGGCGGGGCCGCGACGAGGGGCGGGGCCGCGACGAGGGGCGGGGCCGCGACGGTCGGGCAGGGCCGCTTCGAGGGGCGGGGCCGCGACAGAGGGCGGGGCCGCGACGTAGGGCGGGGCCGGGACGGTCGGGGCGGGGCCGCGACACAGGGCGGGGCCGCGACGTAGGGCGGGGCCGCGACGGTCGGGGCGGGGCCGCGACGTAGGGCAGGGCCGCTTCGAGGGGCGGGGCCGCGACGTAGGGCGAGGCCGCGACGTAGGGCAGGGCCGCGAAGGGTCCCCGTCGCCCGTCGCGACGCCTGTAGAGGGCGACGTGGCGACCGACGGGGCAGAAGCCCACCGCGCGCCTCGGGGCGCACAGCGGGCAGAGCACCGCCGCGCGCCTCGGGGCGCACGGCGGGCAGAAAACCGCCGCGCGCCTCGGGGCGCACGGCGGGCAGAAAACCGCCGCGCGCCTCGGGGCGCACGGCGGGAGGAAAAAGTAGGAGCGGAAGCGAGGTGGTAACCCACCCACAGGATCGATCCAAGGGGATCGACCTGCTCTGATACCATGACAAAGTTTGAAGAAAGAAAGAGGATTGAACTAGCAGAAATGGGGATACAAATAGCAAACCCTAGAAGGGTTGTACTCGCTATAGAGCACCCCACTACAGGCTAGAACAATGAGATAATATTCTGACAAAGTTAACTTTCTGGGCGGGTGGATGGGAGTATGTTTCTAGTAGGTTCAGTAGTTAGACTAGTAACTCTCACGTAGATTCTGCCAACTTTCGAACTAGGCTGGGATGAGTTCGAAGTTACATCGCGGCATGTTTTTGAGTTGACCAATCCGAACCTCCCTAGCCTATCAGCCTTGTTTCGAAACTGTGCACCACAGCATGGTTTGAAAAAATGTACAGTTGTTTCAACTCTGTCTCATAATATTACGCAAAATAATGTAATTGTGACAACTTTTGAGTTTTTAACGGATGATTAGGGTTCAATTAATCTCATCAAATAAAATTATATAAAGCATTCGACAAATTAGATAATAGTAATTACTACTGTAAATTTAATATTTTTGGAGATACTATAAGCCTATGTTTAGTTAAGTAATTATTTTTAACATGATATTTACATTTACAATTCGTGAACACTTAACATATTGATGAAAGATAATGATCTTGTAGTGCAATATATAGCTACATGCAGAGTGCGTAAGATGGAATGCACGTCAACAATTTGAAATCGTACATCACGTCGCGATTCGTGCAACTTTGTGCAGGCCGCGTCCAGGGACGTCGCTAGTAAAAAAAGCTGTCTTAGAATCAGACAGAAGTTCCGGCCTTAGTCTGACCATCAGACGAATTTGTTAGCGCTGTCTGACCTTTCAGATGAAAGTGGTTTGAAATGTCCGTCGATTCAGACAATGTTTAAATACTAGTCTGTAGCTAACATTAACGTTGGAAGTTATTTAACCTATTGAGTCTCGCTATCAGATTCACTAGAACTAACAGAGCAAGACTCGTCATCATCCTCTGATGCTACGACTTCCTGACGCTTCTTCATCCTCCACGCGGGGATGAGTGCCTCCTCGGCGGCTACTTTTTCTCTCTCCCTCGCCGCTGCCGCCTCTGCTTCACGCGCACCTCTAGAGGATGTGGCTGCTGCTGCTTGAGCCGCCTCTGTTGCACGCTTTGCTCGCTTCACAGAGCGCCCCGCCTGTGCCATCACGACCTCCTTAGCTGGCCGGCGCTTCTTGCTCCCGTGCCACACCGACATGATCCCCTACGGCTGCAGCTCGTAATTAAGCAACGCCACCGTCATCAGCTCCCCGAGAGTTGCATCGCAAAGGTTGCCGCGCATCCAACTCTTGATAACGTTTTGCCGGCTAAACCCCCGCTCGCACTGAACTTTGCTGAGCGAGAGCACGGCCACTGCCATCCACAGCCTGACGAGGTTCGGGTAGGCTGCTGTC